AGCTAAATTTGCATAAATTATTTTATAAAAGTGTCCTCATTTGGTGTAAAATTACCTCTACAATGATCTGACTTCATAAGTGAAGAATTTCCTGTCTGTACGTACACATGAAGGGTACGTCCACAGAGGTTTCCATGGCAATCGGCCATTTTGAAAAACTATAATGGCAGAGAGGGACATAAAACACTAGTCTGCCTCTCTAACTAATCCTGAAACCAGCTATAATGCTCAGACTAACGAGTCATTGCATTTTGTAATTTATTTTTAATGACAAACCTCATCACCAGAGAGAAAACTCCATGATGTGGAGGTCATGTTGTGGTGACTTCTTCCTACACTGTGGACCTTTGACCTCTGCCCAGGTCATTAGCATTAGCATTAGCATCTCCTAACCCACAGGTCTGTGTCCTAACCATTAAGTTGTTATCAGTAAATCCCTGTTCAACATGAGTCTGACAACTAAGTAAGTAAATAAATAACTTTAAACTTTAATATGTTCTCTGATAGGCCGGGATCGGAAGTGACAAAAACTGGATCGGGACGTCCCTAAACCCCCCCCACTAACCCGTGGACTCACTTGATCTCGTTGGCCATGTCGTCCTCGCCGTATCTCCGCCTCCTGAAGAACACGAGGAAGGCCAGGCAGACGAAGAGGAGGAAGATGAAGCCCAGCACGGAGCCCACCGTCGCCCCGACGATCATCCCCACCCTATTGGCTGGAGAGAGGGGTCACAGAGGGGTCACACAGGGGCAGAGATGTTCAGTAACGAAGTAAAACTACTTAAGTACTGTACTTAAGTACCAAAATACAGTATCTGTACTTTATTGGAGTAGATGTTTTTTCCCCTACTTTTACTTTTACTCCACTACATATTTTTGATTATTTCAATACTTCTACTCCGATCGATTTTTCACGGGCTGAATCGTTACTCGTTACTGAAATGTAAACATAATGATAGATAGCTCTGTCAGGGTTTGTGAAGCTGGTTCCTCATTGGCGATTTGAACCATCAAGCATAGCCTATTAAAAAAAGCCTCCCGAAAGATTGTTAATTATAGCCTTCAAAAATTCCCCATCTAATCTGAAGAAGCATATCAAGGTAAATTACAAAATACAATGACATATAAGCTAGTAAGTAAGCGCTAGTTCAGTTCTCCCTGTTCACTCAGGATGTAGCAGCTAACGTTAGCTAAAGCTAACCTCGCTGGCTAGCTGTATGGTAACATTAGCTAAAGCTAAGCTAGCTGGCCAGCTGTATGCTACATGCTAGCATAAAGGCTCAGCTCAGGATTCTGACACTGGAATATTAAATAATAGTAGATGAAGCGCTGTTGATGCTAATGCAGATGTAGTTTTCTGTTTTTGTAAACACCTGTATGGCTTTTCACACGTTTGAAATAATATAAACAATATCTATTACATTTTTGACTGGCTTTTTTAAATATACACAGTACTTGTACTTTTACTTATACTTTCGATACTTGAGTAGCAATTTTTGAAATACTTGCAATACTTAAGGACCAAAAAAATTGAGTACTTCCGTACTTCCACTTAAGTATGGTGTTGAAAGAATACTTCTACTTTTACTCAAGTAAATTTTTTTACATAGTACTTGTACTTCTACTCCACTCCTCTACTCCAGTACTTTAAACATCTCTGCAGAGGGGTCACACCAGGCGTTGCCGTGGGCGACCGTGTGTCACCTACAGGTGCTGATGTCCAGGCTGATGTCGCAGGACTCGGCCCCGGCCGAGTTGCTGGCCGTGCAAACGTACTTCCCGGACATGTTGGCGCTCAGGTTGCTCAGCTTCAGGACCCCCGTCCTCTCGTCTGAAAACCGGAAGATTCAGATTTAAAACCCTCAGATCCATCCATCAAACCATAACCATCCATCCATCCATCCATCCATCAAACCATAACCATCCATCCATCCATCAAACCATAACCATCCATCCATCCATCCATCCATCTATCCAACCACCTCAGAGCTTTAAGAGGTCAGAAAAGATGAACACAACAACAACCGGACACAGAGGGCCTCAGGCTGATGGGGGATGGGGTACAGAAGATTATAGAGGCCCAGATCAACTACATCCATCCATTATCTATCAATCCATCCATCCATCCATCCATCCATCATCCATCCAACCATCCATCAAACCATAACCATCCAACATCCATCCATCATCTATCTATCTATCTATCTATCTATCTATCTATCTATCTATCTATCTACCTATCTATCTATCTATCTATCTATCTATCTATCTATCTATCTATCTATCTATCTATCCATTCCTTGTCCATCATCCATCCATCTATCCATCCATCCACCCATCCATCCATCCATCCCTCCATCCATCCATCCATCCATCCATCCATCCATCCATCCATCCATCCATCCATCCATTATCCATCCATTATCCAT